CTCCGCCCCCGCCGCAGGGCTCGTCCTGCAGACGGGGCTGCTGCCGGCTCGGGGCAGGACCGGAGCCGCTGCACCGGAGCATGGAGGTACCCACCGGGACCCCCCCCGCCGCCGCCCCGGAACCCCGAGCTGCGCGCTGCGGGAGCCTTCAGAGCCCCTCCGCCGCTGCTCCGGGACTCCCCTCTCAGCCAGAGCTCTCTTAGCAAACTGCCCCCCCTCCGGGCCACCGGGAGCTGCGCCGGTGCCCCGTTCGGGTGCCGCTCACCGGGACCGCCCGGGACTCCCGGCTGCCAGCGCAGCCCCCCCGCGGTCCCCACCGGAGAGGGGCCGGAACCCCTCGCCAGCACCGAGAAGGGGGAACGGCGACCCCCAACACACACCCACCCACCCATCCCCCCCGGGCTGAGCGGCGGGGGCGGCTCCGTGCGCCGCGGGGGGGGGCGGTGGGAGGCGGGGGCGGGGAGGGGCGGGGAGGGGCGGTGGCGGCGGAGCGGGCAGGGCCAGCCGGAGCCCGAGCCGCAGCCGGAACCGGAGCCGGTGCCGGTGGAGTGGGGCGGGGGGGGCGCGGGCGGCTCGGCTCGGCTCGCCCCGTCTATGTCGTTTTCTGACTCCAGCGCTACCTTCCTGCTCAACGAGGTACCGGCTCCGGTACCGGCCGCGGTATCAGGGGAGCGTGCGCGGGGGGCAGCGGTCGGTTTGGGGGGGACCTGCGCCCCCGGGGTGCTGATGGCGCACGAAGGGGCTGTGCCTCGGGGAGGGGGCCGTGGCCGGTGCGGGGATCATGCCCGGTTCGGGGGGTGCTGTGCCGCCCCCCGGCCCTTTGTTCCTCGCTGCCGCCGCCGCTCTCGTCCCCCCCCGGCCCCCCCAGCAGGTACCGCCGGGACCAGGCGGGGAGGGAATCCCGATACCCACGGCGGGGGCCCCCACAGGGGCCGATGCTCCAGGCCGGGGGGGGCTACACAGGGGGGGTCGTGCATGAGGTGGGGCTGGAGATGCTGTGCTGGGGGGCCTCACTGGGGATGATGGGGGTCTCGTAGCGGGGGGCCGCGCTGGAATGCTGCGGAGCCATCCTGGGGATGCTGGGGGGTGGGGGATGCTCGGGCCGCGGTGACGATGCTGGGGGGGCCGTGCTGGGGAGGCCATGTTGGGGGGGGCTGTGCTGGGGATCCATTTTGCCCGCGGGGGGGACCGGAGGGGGTGTCCGGGCTCCCCCCGGTGTGAGCCCCGTGGGATGTGCAGGTTAGCGGGGGCAGCGGCGCTGAGCTCAGCCCGGCAGGGCCCGGGGGGCCTCGGGGGGGGTGGGCTCAGCCACATCCAGGGACCTATAAATATTTCACCGCAGCTTCTGCGCCTGTTCCAGGCGCAGCGGGCGGTGGGTAAATACCGGCGCGGCGGGGAGGGGGAGCCGGGGGTGCTGGGCTGAGCACCCCAGGGTGCGGGGTGGCAGGAGCAAGATCCACACCGCAGGTTGACGGGGACCATCTCGCCATCCCTGGGACTGAGGCGGTCTCCCCCCGTAACCCCCCCAGCGGGTGGGGGCTGCACCCCAGGGCAGCTGCGCTGGGCGATGCCACCTGACACACCCGGCTTGATGCCACCGTGGACCCCCGAGAGCTGGAAGGGGGTCACAAGGGTCCCCTCCCGAGGCTGGCACCGCCTCAGCACGAGGTCCCTCTGTGTGGGGGTTTCCCCTCACAGCCCCCCGGCACTCAGCCCCGTTCCCCCAGGGCTCGGCGGACTCCTACACCAGCCGCCCATCCCTGGACTCCGACGTGTCCCTGGAAGAGGACCGTGAGGGCGCCCGGCGCGAGGTGGAGAGCCAGGCTCAGCAGCAGCTCGAGAGGGCCAAGGTATGAGGGGGAGGCAGCCGAGGCATGGCCCGGGGTTGCCTCCAGGGCCCGGGGATGCTGATCACCCCCCAAAACCCCCAGCACAAGCCGGTTGCCTTCGCCGTGCGCACCAATGTCAGCTACTGCGGGGCGCTGGATGAGGAGTGCCCAGTGCAGGGAGCCGCCATCAACTTTGAAGCCAAAGATTTTCTGCACATCAAGGAGGTCAGCTGGGGTGCTGGGGGCTCTGTTCAGGGCCAGGGACCTCCCCTAGTCTCACCTCTGCCCTGTTCTCACCCAGAAATACAGCAATGACTGGTGGATCGGGCGCCTAGTGAAGGAGGGGGGGGACATCGCCTTCATCCCCAGCCCCCAGCGCCTGGAAGCCATGAGGCTCAAGCAGGAGCAGAAAGCCAGGTAGGGATGGGACCCCCCGGACCCACTCCAGGACCCTCAGCACTCGCTCACCCCCTTCTTCCCTAGGAGAGCTGGCAATGCCTCGGGCCTCGGCGACAGCGGGAGCCGGCGATCGCCTCCCCCCTCCTTAGGTAAGGGCAGATCTTGGCCCAGGGGAATCGTGGGTGTCCCGAGGGGTTCCCCACTTTTCTGTCACCAACCTGTGTCTCTTCTCTCCCCAAGCCAAGCAGAAGCAGAAGCAGGTGAGTCCCAGGTGCGGGGCTGGGTCGTGGGCAGGGGGCGGTGGGGAGGGGGCTGCAGGCAGGGCCAGTAGTGGCTGTTTCTGGGGTGGGCTGGAAGCAGAGTCACCCCCTCTGTTCCCAGCTTATGGGGCTGGGAGGGCTCCAGGATCTGTGACTCCCTGGAATAGGCTCATTGAGCCCTTCCAGGCTGGGGGTGGGATCACAGGGCACTGACACCCCCCCGTGTACCCCTGCAGACGCAGCACATCCCACCCTACGACGTGGTCCCCTCCATGCGGCCCGTGGTGCTGGTGGGGCCCTCACTGAAAGGATATGAGGTATGGGGGGATGCAGGGTGGTCTCGGTGTGCCCTCAGGGTGGTGGCCCGTGCCCCTTGTCCCTTCCCTGCCCGTGGTGTTCGGGCAGCGGGCAGATGGCGGGGCCGAGGGCGGCTGGCAGGGTGCTGAGTGGCTGCCACCTCCCTGCCGGTGCCATCTGCCGCGGCTCACCGGGCTGTGGCCCCACGGCAGGTCACCGACATGATGCAGAAAGCCCTCTTCGACTTCCTCAAGCACAGATTCGATGGCAGGTGAGACCGTCACCCCACCCAGAACCCCCCTCCTTCCACTGCCTGCGGGTCCCCAGGCGCTCAGTGTGTCCCTGTGCTCCCCAGGATCTCCATCACACACATCACAGCTGACCTGTCCCTGGCCAAGCGCTCCATCCTCAACAACCTGGGCAAGCAGGCGATCCTGGAGCGCTCCACCACCCGCTCCAGCATTGGTGAGGGGCCAGGCTCACCCCGGGGGTGCAGGGACCCCCTCCCAGGGCCAGCCCAGCCTGACACGGCCCCCCCGGTGTCCCCCCAGCCGAGGTGCAGAGTGAGATCGAACGCATCTTCGAGCTGGCCAAGTCGCTGCAGCTGGTGGTGCTGGACGCTGACACCATCAACCACCCGGCCCAGCTGGCCAAGACCTCCCTGGCACCCATCATCGTCTACGTCAAGGTGTCCTCCCCCAAGGTGAGGGGTGACCACAGCTCCGGGGGGGTCCTGGCTGCCCCCATGGTGCTGTCACTCCCCTGTCCCCTCCCCAGGTCCTGCAGCGGCTCATCAAGTCCAGGGGCAAGTCCCAGGTGAAGCACCTCAATGTGCAGATGATGGCAGCCGACAAGCTGGTGCAGTGTCCCCCGGTGAGCCAGCCGGTCCCCGCACCCTGGGGATGCCTGGGGGGATCCCAGAGCCCCCCTGACCCCTCTCACCTGCCCCCCCAGGAGCTCTTTGATGTGATCCTGGATGAGAACCAGCTGGAGGATGCCTGTGAGCACCTGGCTGAGTACCTGGAGGTTTACTGGCGTGCCACGCACCACCCGCCACACGCCCCCCACGCTGTCCCCTCGCCCACCGGACTCCCCGGCCTGCAGGTAGCCCCATGGCCCCCTCCCTGCTCCCCACGGCCAGCTGCCACACGGGGGAGGGCGTGGGGGGGACACACAACCCCCACTGTCCCCATGGGGACTCAGCAGAGGGGTGCTGGGGTTAGGGAGGCCGGACAGCCCCCACAGTGTCCCCACAGTGTCCCCACAGTGTCCCCAGAGCCCCCTCCCTGCTCCCCACGGGCAGTCGGGTTGACAGAACAGGGTGAGGGGTGCACAGGGACACGCAGCCCCCTCCGTGCTCCCCATGGGGATCCAGCACGAGGTGCCAGGGCCGGGGGTGGGGGGCACACGCAGCCCCCGCCCGCAGCCCCTCCCTGCCCGCAGAGCCAGCAGCTGCTGGGGGAGCGGGGCGAGCACTCGCCGCTGGAGCACGACAGCCTGATGCCGTCGGATGAGGCGGGGGACACCTCGCCCCAGCATTGGGGAGCCACATCCCAGCGCAGCTCGCGGCACCTGGAGGAGGAGGAGGAGTACGGAGACCCCTACCCCGACCTGTACCAGCCCCACCGGCACCACGGCAGCGGTCCCGGCACGCCGGAGCGCCCGAGCGAGCGCAACCACGACAGGAACTGGCAGCGCAGCCGGCCCTGGGCCAAGGACAGCTATTAGGAGTGGGGAGGGGGGGGCACGGCTGGGAACCGGCCCCCCCAAACCCCGGGCGCTCCCCGCCTCGCCCCAGCCCCGCGCTGGGGGTGCTCAGACAATCGAACTCCGCACCGGCAGCTTCCTCTCGCCCGGCCCCGGGCAGTTTTCAGCCATAAGCACAGCGGTGGGGGGGGCCCGGCGGCCAGGATGCCCTGGGACTCCCCGCCGAAGTTTTGGGGAACCTGGGGACAGACAGACACATGCCTTCGCCCTGCCTCAGTGTCCCCCCCCGGGCCCTGCATCACAGGCTGGCTCATTCTCCGCACAGCAGCTGCCATGGAGAGTGGGTGCCCCCCCAAAAAAGGGGAGGTAAGGAGAGGGGGCAGTTGTAGCAGCATCCCCCACCCCGCGCAGACCCGAGGAAGAGAGGGAAGGTGCCTGCTCACCCCCGGGACCCGGCCTGCCCCCTCCCCACCCCTGCATGGGACCCCTGGGAGGAGTGGGTCACACCACTCGCTTCGCTCTGCACCGATCCCCCCGCCCCGCTCACCGCAGCCACCCCACTCCTGCCCCGCCGTGGGGAGGACAGGCTGTGGGGGCTGCACGGGCTCTGGGGGCTGCTCCACGCTTGCACCCACTGCCCCATCCCCGACGTCCCCTGCCCATGCTGTCACCGCACGTCACCACAGTCCTGTAAATACGGCGCCCACTGCCCTTGGCCGGGGGTCCTGGCGTGGGCTGAGCCCCCCCCGGGGCCATTATTGGTGGGGAGGGGGGGGAATGGGATGGGGGCCACAGATTTGTTATAATTTCTTTTGTAGAAAGCACTGATTTCCCTGTAATTGGTTTCAGAAACACACGAGTGCTCAGAGGTGCCGGTGTCCGTGTCTGTGGAGGGGACATGGGGGAACCTGGTCTGGGGGGGCAGGGGGGACAGTGCTGGTGGGTGCAAAGTGCTCCTTTTGGGCACTGCTGGCTTCTGTCCCCATGGGAGGTGGCACCCAGGGGCTGGGCAATGGCACCCAGGCGAGGGAGAAGACGAGGAGGCGACGCTGGTAACGCCGCTGCCGGTTTATTCCTGCAGCCTGGAGCTTCAGCTACAAAAAAACCCAAAAACCCCAAAGGATGAGGTGCAGACAGTTCCCAGGACAGCCCAAAAAACAGCCCCGCCCTGGCAGCAGGGAGGGACCGGCCCCCAAACAGCCTCCAGCAGCTCCTCCGCTCCATAGGGAAAGTGGGGAGGGGGGACCAGGAGAACCAGGGACCAGGGGGGGATATTTTGGGATAATCCCAGCCCCAGTCTCTGCTTGTGGGCAGTCCTTGGGTTGCACAAGCAGCTGGGAAAAGAACAGCCAGAGCAGTCCTGGCAGCCTTGCTGGTCCTGTTGTCCCCGCAGGGGTGACAAAGAGGGGCCTCAGGCGAAGATGGTCTCCTCCCGCCGCTTCTTGGTGAGGATGGTGCCCGGCTTGTGCTGGGCATCGGGGTGGTTGGCGAGCTCGGGGGGGCACGAGGACACGGGGCTCTCCAGGATCGCCTGCTTGAGGTCGTAGAACACCGTGGAGTCCTCCTTGGTGAGGAAGGTGATGGCCACACCGCTCTTCCCTGCTCGGCCTGTCCGCCCAATGCGGTGGATGTAATCTGGGGGGGGAAATGAAGGGCTCAGTGTGGGCAGCTCCAGGGCTGGGCACTCCCTGCAGCCCCCCCTGCACTCCCAGCTCCAGGGCTGGGCACTCCACAGCCCCCTTGGTGTAACAGCACCAGGGCTGGGCACCCCCAAGAACCAATGCCAGGAACCCCCACCCCCTGACACAGGTAGCACCAGTGATGGGCACCCCCCCCACCCTCAGCACCAGGGCTGGGCACCTTCTTCATCCCAAGAACCAGGGCTGGGCACCTCTACAACCCCCTCGGTGAGGGCAGCACCAGGGCCAGGCACACCCAGTACCAAGGCTGGGCAACCTCACAGCCTCTTCAGTGTGGCAGCACCATGGCTGGGCAATCCCCCAAAGCCTCTCCACCGCAGGTAACACCAGGGCCAAGCACCCCAGCACGGGCAGCACAAACCCCCAGCCCCACTGGCACAGGCAGCAGCGGAGCTGGACACTCCCCTCAGTGCCCCCTCAGCCTCACCCTCGATGTTCTTGGCCATGTCGTAGTTGACCACCATGGAGACGTCGTGGATGTCGATGCCACGTCCGGCCACGTCCGTTGCCACCAGGATGTCCTTGGCCCCGGCCTTGAGGTTGGAAAGGGCGAACTCTCGCTGCTCCTGGCCCTTCCCACCGTGCAGGGTGCAGGCGTTGTACTGTGGGAAGAAGAGAGGGTCGGTGGGGGCACATAAAGGAGTCCCCACGTGGGGATGAAGGGGACAGGGCTCAGGGTGACCCCCCCCAGCCCAGACTCACCCCCATCTTCTCCAGGGACTTGGCCAGCACATCGCAGCCCTTCTTCTGGTTGACGAAGATGATGATGGGCGGGTCGAAGCCCTGTTCCAGAATGGCCAAGAGCTTCTTCCTGTAGAGGAGAAAGAGGAGGAAGAGACAGTTGGGCAAAGAGATGCTGAAGCGCCTCACAGATTCCCCATCACCCTCCAGCCCCCAGGCCACCCCCAGATCCTGTGGTCCCCACCTCTTCTCGGACTCTGACATGAGGAAAACCTTCTGTTCCACCCTCTCGTGAGGTTTGCCGGCCGAGCCGATGTACACCACGGCCGGGCGCCGGAGGTAACTGCGGGCCAGGCGCTCCACTGCCGGGGGCATGGTGGCCGTGAACATGACAGTCTGCAAGGGAACAGGGCAGTGACGTCCTGGGAATGTCCCCAGTAGGGCCGGGAACGTCCCACAGTGAGGCAGGAATGACTCTGATGGGGAAGGAATGTCCCCCCTCATGGAGCAGGAACATCATCCGCTGGGAAAGCACATCCCCCAGTGAAGCAGGAATGACCCCAGTGGGGCAGGAATGTCCTCCCATGGAGCAGGAACATCCCTCAAACAAACAGGAATGACCCCAGTGTGGCAGGAATATCCCCCATGGAGCAGAAGCAACCCCCAACGAGGTAAGAATGACTCCAGAAGGGCAGGAATCTTCCCCCATGGAGCAGGAACATTGCCCATGGAACAGGGATACCTTCCTGTGGGGCAGGATTGTGCCCTATGGAGCAGAAATGTCCTCTTGTCGGGCAGAAACGACCCCTCATGGGGCAGGAACATTCCTCCACAGAGCAGAAACGTGACTCCCGTTCCCTTAACCCCTTCCCCACCCCACAGACCCCCACAGGAGCCCTCCCAGGCTCCCCCTTGCCCACACTCACCTGTCTGTACTTGTGCTTCCCAGACTCAAAGTTGGCCAACATCTTCTCGGGGTCCTCGGCCTCGTCAGTGTCGGGTTTCTGGTTGGTGACGGGCATGTGCTCCAGGATCTTCTGCACGTCGGGCTCGAAGCCCATGTCGATCATGCGGTCGGCCTCGTCCAGCACCACGTAGGTGCAGCGGCTCAGCACCAGGTACCGGTTCTCCAGCACGTCGATGAGCCGGCCCGGCGTGGCAATGACGATCTGGGGGGGGGCCAGGGGGAGTTGGTGGGAGCAGCCCAGGGCTGAGCTGCCCCCTGGGACCCCCCAAACACCCCCCACTCACCTCGCAGCCCATGCGGAGGCGGAAGCCCTGATCCTCGCGGGAGATGCCGCCGATCACGGCCACGGTGCGGATGCCCAGGGGTTTCCCAAATTTGATGGTTTCCTCCTCAATCTGCTGTGCCAGCTCACGGGTGGGGGCCAGGATGATGGCGTAGGGCCCCTGGTCTGACTCCTCGATGCTGCAGCATGGCAGGATGTGGTTGCGTCACCCCTCGGTGCCACATGTGTGCCTGCCAGTGTCATCCCCCACTCCACCATGTCACCCTGAACCCTGCCTCAATCCCTCCACAGTGTCACCATCAACCCCATCCTGTCACCTCCACAGTGCCTCCCTGTCCCCACCCCTCTGCAGTGTCACCCTGCCACTCCACCCTGTCCCCTGGGCAGTGTCCCCGCCCCGCACCGGTCGATTTTGGGCAGGGTGGTGATCCACACGAGCAGCGGGATCAGGAATGCCGCTGTCTTGCCGCTGCCGGTCTCGGCCACGCCGATGATGTCCCGGTTCTGCAGCCCGATGGGGATGGCCTGGCGCTGGATCGGGGTTGGTTCCTGCCAGGGGGAGCAGGTTAGGAGCAGAACTTGCCCTGTTCCCCCTCTCCAAATCCCTGACAACCCCTGTTCCCCCTCTCCAAATGCCTGACAACCCCTGTTCCCCCTCTCCAAATCCCTGACAACCCCTGTTCCCCCTCTCCAAATGCCTGACAACCCCTGTTCCCCCTCTCCAAATCCCTGACAACCCCTGTTCCCCCTCTCCAAATCCCTGACAACCCCTGTTCCCCCTCTCCAAATCCCTGACAACCCCTGTTCCCCCTCTCCAAATGCCTGACAACCCCTGTTCCCCCTCTCCAAATCCCTGACAACCCCTCTTTCCCCCTCCCCAGCTCCCCCTCTCCGTGCCCACCTTGTATCCACACTTGTCAATGACCTCCAGGATGTGGGGGGGCAGGGAGGAATCCTTCCAGGAGCGGATGGGATTTGGGATCTTGCCCCCCTTGGTGGTGATGCTGTAATCCTCACGGAAGATGCGCCAGTCCCTGTCTGTCATCTCGTCCAGCTTCTTCTGGGACCAGTGCCGGTCATCCCAGCGCTGCTTGGCCTCCTTCTTCCGCAGCTTCCGCAGCCGCGCCCTGGCCGGAGGGAGGGAAGGGATGGGGGAAAGGAAGAGGGAAAGGGGAGAGGGATGGGGAAAATGGGGATGAGGGAAAAGGGAATGGGGGAAAGGCAGAGGGAAAGGGGAGAGGGATGGGGAAAGTGTGATGGGGAGAAAGCGATAGGAAAAGGGAGATGGGGAAAAAGGGAATAGGGAAAAGTAGGATGGGGAAAACGGGATAGGAAAAGGAAAATAAAGGATATTGGAATAGGGGAAATGGGAGAGGGAAAGAAGATGAGAGAAATGGGGATGAGGACGGGAGGGTGATGGAGGGGGAACAAGGGCAGGGCGAGGAAAGGGATGACAAATGGAGTGAAGAAGGTGAGGAAGGGGAAGGAGAAAGGGGCTCACCCTGTGCCTCTAGAACCCTTCTGCCAGTTTCCTGCAGAACCTGCTGCAGCCCAGCCAAGCTAAGCCAGCCAGGATCCCACACACCCCTCAGCACCATCCCAGCTTCCCCAAAACCTCACTCCTCCTGCTCCTTCTCCTCCAGCGTCCGCCTCTTCTCCATCAGGTCCCCATAGAACCGCGACTGTTCCCGTTTCTGTTGCTTCAGGTCGATGCCGGCGATGAAGCCGCGGCCCAACAGCTGCACCTGGTGCCTCTCCTTGTACCTGGAGCAGGGTGGGAGCATCAGGAGCAGGGCTGGGGGCTGCCTTGCACCCCACAAGGACACCCCCAGCCCTAGGGGCACCCCAGCACTCACAGGGGGTTGTAGTCGATGGAGGTGTCCTCCGACGCGTCCCACTCGAACACGAACTTGCGGTCGTTGAGGTGCCGCGTGCGCCGGCGCTTCTTCACCCCCCCCAGGTACCGCTCCTGCAGGACCCCAGGCTCAGCAAGACCCCCCCATCCTCCCCCCAGCCCCCCAGACCAGCCCCCAGCCCCACCTTGATGGCGTGGAGCTCTTTGCTCTTGTCCTTCTCCTCCCGGATCTTCTGCCTGCCCTCCTCGTCCTCGGTGCCGTTGGTCTCCCGCTCCATGCGCTCCCGACGCTCCCGGCGCTCGCGCTCCTGGGGGTCTTCTGGGGAGCAGGGGAAGGGGCTCAGAGCCAGCACCTGCCCTGAGGGCTGAGTGAGGGGGTCCAGGGATAAGCCCTTACCCAGCATTTTCCTGCCCATCTCCTGGAATTGTTTCCTCTTCTTCCTCTCCTCCTCCAGCAGCCGCTGCCGCTCCTCCACCTCCTGCTGCCGCCGCCGCAGGGCCTCAGCCTCCCGCTCCGCCTTGGACAGGAACTTGGGCTGGGATGGGACAGAGGCAGTGTTACACTGGGCCCAGCTGCCACCCCTGTGCTGCTGGGGGTCCCCTCAGCTTTCTCTGCTCCTTCCCGGGGCCCCCAGGCCTCCCCTCTCCCTCCCTGGATCCCCCAGACCTCTCCACTCCCTCCCAGGGGGGCTCTGTGCTCCCTCCTCGTGTTCCCCAGCCCTCCTTTTCCTCCTAGGGTCTCTCTGTGCCCCTCACCAGACCCCTCAGCCTTCCCTGTTCCCTCCCAAGGTCCTTTTGCTCCCTCCTGGGGCTCCACCAGGCCTCCCCCCTCCCTCCTGTGTTTCACAGCCCCCCATATGCCCTCCCTGGCCTGCCTGCCCTGTACCCTCTCAAGCCCCCAGCCCTCCCTGCTCCATCCCATGATTCCTCCCAGTGCCCCCTGGCACTCCCTGCTTCCTTCTGGGGTTCCTCTGCATCCCCAAGTTTCTCAGCCCTCCCTGTTCCCTCCTGGGGTCCCCCCTGTGGTATCCCCACAAGCATCCACACCCTCTGCAGAGGGAAGAAGCTCCTGCTCCTACCTTGGCCTCTGCCTCCTCTTCTGCCTTCTTCTTTGCCAGCAGCTCCTCCAAGGACAGCGGCTGCGCCTGGAAGCAAAGCCGGGTGTCAGCCCCACTCCCAGGGACCTGAATACACTGGAACCACTCCCCAGGGACCTGGATCCACCTGGAGTCACTCCCAACCAAGCCTTTTCCTCCCCCTCCTCACCTTCTCCTTCTTCAGGGCATTCTCCTCCTCCTCCTCTGCTTTCCGTGCATCCCGATCCTTCCGAGACTTGGAGTCCTTCCCTCTGCCCGGGGACAAACTTCCAAGGAAAACAGCACAGAATAAGACACCAGACACAGCCCAACCTCCAGGGGGTTTAGGGGAGAGAAGGAACCTCTCAAAAAAGTGACAGGACCCACCTGGATCGCTTGCGGTCCTTGTCCCGCCGGTGCCCATCCTTGTCCCTGTCCCGCTCCTTCTTGCTGCGGTCACGGTCCCGCTCCTTGTGCCGCCGATCCCTGAGGAACGGGGAGATCACAGCGTGACCCAGAGCCCTCACTCACCCTCCGTGGGGCCGTCAAAGCTCTTCCCAAAAACCCAGGGAGCCCTGGACCCGCCTGACCTCTCTGTGGACTTGGAGCGGGACCGGGAGCGCGAGCGGCTCCGTCTCCGCTCCCGGGATCGGTGTCGCTTCCGCTCCTTGGCCGGGGAGCTCTTGCGGTCCCGGTCCCGCTCCCTCTCCCGCTCAGGGGAGCGGGAACGTTTCCTCTCCTCCTTCACCGGGGATGCATCCCGATCCTTCTTGTCCGCCAGTTCTCCGGCCATCTGTGGGGTCAGAGCGGGGACAGCGGGGGCTCGGGGGGCGCACACGGACCCCGGGAGGGAGCGCGGAGGGCTGCGAGGGGAACTGGGGGTGCAGGGTGGGACCCCTGGGCAGCAGTGGAGACCCGGGGGGGACAGAAGGGTTGTGAGACCCAGGGGAGCCACAGAGGGACCTCAAGAGCTGGGGAACCCGGGGAGAGTGTAAAGGGACCCTCAGGAGGGAGTGGGGAGGCCCGGGGGACCCCCGAGAGGGCACAGAGGGACCCCAGGAAGGAGCGGGAAGAACTGCAGGGCACCGAGAAGAGAACGTAGAGAGAAGGGGGGACCCCGAGAGGGCACAAGGAAGCCCAAGGGTGGGCGGGGGGAGGCCTGGGGGACCCCGAAAGGGCTCCGGGAGGCCCGGGGAACGCGGCGCGACGGCGCTCCAGGCCCTGTCCCCGGTGCCCAGTGCCGGGGCTCTGCCCGGTGCCTGGGCACCAGGGCTCTCCAGCCCCTGGGCCCCGAGGAGGTGCCCCGGGTGTTCCTGCAATGCCCCGTTCGCTCCCGCCGGTTCCCGCTCACCGCCGCAGCCCCGGGTTCAGCGCCGTCGCTGCTCCGCCGCCGCCATGTCTGCCGGGCCCGCAGGGCATGCCGGGACGGCACGGGACTACAGCTCCCGGCAGCCCTCGCGTCACTGGACTACAGCTCCCAGCACACCCCGCGTGCTCTCGGCGCCCCTGCGCGGCCGCAGCGCCTCCGCGGCTCGTGATCCTTCCGCCGAGCGGCAGCTCCCCCTCCCCAGCCCAAAGAGTCCTCCGGGCCGGTGTCCCCGTGTCCCTGAGCCCCCCACATCCCGCAGGGACCTCTTGCCTACCCAGCTGAGGGCCTTAGGGCCGTGTCCTCGCGGTCTAGAGCACCCCAAGCCCTGGGGAGGCCGTTCCGCGTCAGTGTCCCCCATGTCCCTGCACACCCCAGAGCCCCCGGGGGCCGCCCGGGTCAGTGTCCCCACAGGCCTGGGCACTCCAGACTCGCCAGAGACCCCCAGAGCACTGTCCCTGCAGAAGCCCCAGACCCCCACTGCATCCCCATTCACAATATAGGGTCCAAGGCAGAGCCTGGGGGCAGCAGAAGAGGTGGGGGGACTCTTTTGGTACCCCCCACCCCCCAAAAAACACCCCACCCCAGGGATTTTGCCTTCTGCACCAGCACCCAGGGGTGACAGCACAGCCCCACGTCAGTGCCACCAGTGATCAAACACACCCCAAAACTCCCAACACCCTCCAAAAACCAGGATCCCTCCCCAAAACACAGGGCCAGGCAGGGCTGCACATAGGTAGGTGTTATATTTCTGATAATAAATAAGCTTTTTAATAACACTGACATGGAACAGAGACACCCCCCCCCCCC